TTCATTGAAGTTTTTAAAAACCTCGTAGAAGAGGACATTAAATCATTACGATTTAATAACATCCGGAATAAAGCTTTTATAAATAGGGGACTCGAAGAATTGGAAACAAGGAACAAAATAGTGATTAGACCTGCAGATAAAGGGGGAGGAGTAGTAATAATGGATGAACACTATTACGAAAACGAAATGATCAACATACTTAATACTCCTGACACTTACAAAAAAACTAAATAAAAAATCCAACACAGGTATGTAATACCTCATCAAGGTGGCTTAGAAGCTGTCGAGTGGGCCTTTAGGACATTTGCCAACTACGAAGAAGAGCAAAAAGACTTCATTATGGAATGTCTACGATTTGTAATGACAAACAATTTCTTCTGGTACAAGGGTGAGCACTACCTCCAGAAGAAAGGAGTTGCCATGGGGGCACACATTTGCACCAAGCTTGGCTAATTTGTATACGTCAAGGTGGGAGGAGGAATGTATTTTTGAGAGAGAAATGAAAAAATATAAAACTATGGAAAAGATTTATCGATGATAACATAGTTGTGTGGGAGGGGGGGATGCACAGTCCTTACAACTATTCATCGATGGTCTTAACTCTAACGACTACAACATCTCCTTTACAAGTCATATCGGCGATAGAAATATAACATTTCTGGACCTTGACATTACAAAGAATGGAGAAAGTCTCAATACAAGGACATACTTTAAACCCACAGATAGAAATGGATATATTCCGGTGTCTGGCTGCCACCATCCAGTCTGGCTCAAAGGGATACTAAAAGGGCAACTAACCAGAATCAAAAGAAATTGTTCTAAAGATGAAGACTTCTACAAACAAACTAATATGTTAGTTGATAAGTTTAAAGGAGAACTATGAGTTCGCTCACCTCTCGATCCTGTCACGGCAGAGAGGGGCTGGATTCCCCGCTCCGATCTGCCAGCGCTGACTGGCGGAACGGACGGGGGTGGGGGCGGGTACAGCTGGCTCTGCCTCTAGATAGGCAGAGCCAGCTGTCAGTCACGCAGCTGGGTGGATCCAGTAGCTCGTGGTATACTGCGACGTCTCCGTATATAGGGAGCTACAGCTAGCGGTATACTGAGTTTGAGGTTAAGGCTTTTCCCCATAGTTCTCCTTAGGGTAACGGGAGGACACAAACTAGCGTCCTCCCGTCACCCTGAGAACTATGGGGAAAAGCCTTAACCCCATAGTTCTCCTTTAAAGAAAAAGGATATAGAGCAGGGGTCTCAAACCTCCGGCCCTCCAGCTGTGGTGGAACTACAAATCCCATGAGGCATTGGAAGATTCTCACAGCCACAGACATGATTACAGAAGAGAGATGCATCTTGGGATTTGTAGTTTCACCACAGCTGGAGGGCCGGAGGTTTGAGACCCCTGATATAGAGAGGAGGAATTAAAAACGTTACAGGAAAAGGTATCAAGGAAGGATAGACTGGATTTAATAAAACCCATACAAAAAAATCTAAAAATCCGCCCCAAGTGGCTTTCATAACGAATTATTCAGCCCAGTACAAGTTAATTGAACGTATTTTAAAAAATCATTGGCATATACTTAAAAGAGATAAGGTACTGGGTTCTATCCTGCCGAATAGGCCCAAAATAATATGTAAGAGAGCCCCGAATCTCAGAACTAAACTTGCCATTAGTGTTCTGGACCCCCCGAAACCAGGGATTACACCTATTTTACTGAGCAAACCCAAAATACTTTATAAAAGAGCCCCTAATCTGAAAACAAAACTTGCCATCAGTGTTTTAGATCCCCCCTAAACCAGAAGTAACTATATTTAAAGGAGTAGGTTTTTATCCCTGCAAATATTGCATTTGTTGCAGAACAACAGGAACTAAGAAAAACTAAATCACCTCCCACCTAACTTTATTGCTATCACACAGGAATAACAAGCTCCTTTGTGATAAGTGGATATATACGTTGGATACTATGACTCCCAGCGGATTAAATATTGACTTTGACTTAAATTGCTTCCTAAGTAACAATTAAAATGTATAATATTTAAATAACTAACGAATAAAAAGTCCTACTACAGATTATTATAAGATATAAAAAAAAGTTATTTTGGGTACAGATGCATCTATTTAAAAAAAGTACTAATTTTAATATTTTAAATTATTTTATTAATTCAGATCCTAAGTGATCATATTAAATTACATGTCTCTCAAATATGTAAATGATGTGGAAAATTTTGGTTATTGCATGATTGGACCGTTCCTATATACTATTGTTTTTACATTATTGTTTGCATGTAACTTCCTAATTGATCCAATGATTAATCAAAAACAAATAGCGTTTGTTGCGTGGTGGCAGATGTCGGAACGCACTCCAACGTATGAGGCAAATGAGACATCAATTGATCCACCTGTGCACTTGATACACACTATATAAGTGAAGATTTGGTATGGTAATTTAGACCTGCATGCTCCCCTGAGGACGTCGTCGGTGACGAAACGCGTAGGGGCGGGTCTATCATACCAAACCTGATAGTTGTTGGACCGGCCGGACTTGTTTTATTGTAACTGATATATCAAACTTACGAATAAACTGCTACACTAAGAAAGATTTTTTTCTTTACATGAGTGAATGAACATTCTTTACTTCGGCATAGGAGGTGCCGGCAAAGATACCGGACTAACTTACTCCGGTAAACAAAACGTGTGGGGCTGTCTGTTACAGCCAAAAGCCTGTGGTGAGTACGCACTTTGAGGGGATATGTATTGGTAACAATACACTCCCCAGAATAAGCACGGAGTATATCACTGAACACTTAAAGTTTTTGGTCACCTTCACTTGAAACGCGTTGGAATATCACTTTTTTTCGTTTGCCAAATCTTTTTTCACAGAGGCAAATTATCACAGAGATTCGTGATTTTGTTATTCTTAATGTTATTTAAGTTTATTTCAAAAATATACATCACAAAAAATCCTTATACCAATTATTTAATAACATTATAAATTGATCACCTGTTTTCGGTCTCGAATGATACGATTTAACTCTATAATTTATTTTCCTGTAACGGTTTATGCAGAGGGTTTTGACACCAATTATTGTTTTTCACATACCACTTGTTATAACATAGCGTTAAAGTTGCATGTTAAAAACGGTTGTTATATATACACTGATAATGTAATATCTATGAATTGAATATTTAGCGCTGTATATTCAGTCAATATATTATCTCTTAGACCCACGGGTCTATATTACAGCAGCTTTCAATCAACACTACATAAGAAGCTATAGTAGTTTGAAGTCAGATAATTTCAAATCTATTGTTCATCACCTTTCACTGGTATATGGTATACATTTTATTGGTATAGGTTCACATGGTAATTAATTGAATCTTTTAGCGCTGCTCATCCAGTCAAACTTATCAGATAAGATGAGACTGAATTATAAATGGTGGACCATCAAAGTTGGGAAGAAGATTTACCAGAAGTAGTAATCTCCCCTATTGTAGGATGAAGGGGTCGTGCTCCATTACATTGGTTGTCCATCTCCATTCACCAATATAACGTCCTGTCCCCAACACATGAGGAGGAGATACTGTACGCCATATGAAGTTCCATCTCCCTTCCTCAATATAAGGTCATGTGACCAACAAATGAGGAGGAGATACTGTACGCCATATGAAGTTCCATCTCCCTTCCTCAATATAAGGTCATGTGACCAACAAATGAGGAGGAGATACTGTACGCCATATGAAGTTCCATCTCCCTTCCTCAATATAAGGTCATGTGACCAACAAATGAGGAGGAGATACTGTACGCCATATGAAGTTCCATCTCCCTTCCTCAATATAAGGTCATGTGACCAACAAATGAGGAGGAGATACTGTACGCCATATGAAGTTCCATCTCCCTTCCTCAATATAAGGTCATGTGACCAACAAATGAGGAGGAGATACTGTACGCCATATGAAGTTCCATCTCCCTTCCTCAATATAAGGTCATGTGACCAACAAATGAGGAGGAGATACTGTACGCCATATGAAGTTCCATCTCCCTTCCTCAATATAAGGTCATGTGACCAACAAATGAGGAGGAGATACTGTACGCCATATGAAGTTCCATCTCCCTTCCTCAATATAAGGTCATGTGACCAACAAATGAGGAGGAGATACTGTACGCCATATGAAGTTCCATCTCCCTTCCTCAATATAAGGTCATGTGACCAACAAATGAGGAGGAGATACTGTACGCCATATGAAGTTCCATCTCCCTTCCTCAATATAAGGTCATGTGACCAACAAATGAGGAGGAGATACTGTACGCCATATGAAGTTCCATCTCCCTTCCTCAATATAAGGTCATGTGACCAACAAATGAGGAGGAGATACTGTACGCCATATGAAGTTCCATCTCCCTTCCTCAATATAAGGTCATGTGACCAACAAATGAGGAGGAGATACTGTACGCCATATGAAGTTCCATCTCCCTTCCTCAATATAAGGTCATGTGACCAACAAATGAGGAGGAGATACTGTACACCATATGAAGGTCCATCCCCATTCCTCAACATAATATCGTGTTATTATGGCGCATTCATCATATAGCGGGCTATTGCTACGTTTTGGGTCACCCAATATATGTCCTCCCGTGACCCAGAGGAAGACCATGGGCTAAAAATATTACCTTTAATCCACAAAACAATTGTACCCGATGTGTCAGAGTTGTTTTGGGTGTTTTTATCCTTTAACTCATTTTATATTTTGTGCTACAGTTCTACCAAATATCATGACAGGTCTCTACGAAACTGTTGACTGTCAGATAAACATACATGACTCTGATTACTGACGTGTGTAATGATTTCTCTCCAGCAGATGGATGTGATGTCAGGAATACCTCGGAGAGACATCTTATATTATCTGCCGATTGTAAGTCAGAAGATAATGTCATCACACAGGATTCTCCAGGAGTGAATCCAAACACACAAAATATACATCACAGACCTCACTGCTCGGAGACATCAATGGATCCCTCTGATCAGGGTGAATCTTCTGACCATTCACATACTATGACTAGAAATATTCATCTAAGATCTCGCACTGCAACAGATCCATCTAATCCCGAGGAATCTTCCTCACCCCATGAAGGAGATCACAGAGGTGAAAATCTTTTTTCACGTTCAGTAAGTGGGGAATCTTTTACTACAAAAAAAAGCCTTTGTAGACACCAGAGAATTCACACAGGTGAGCGTCCTCATTCATGTTCAGAGTGCGGGAAATCTTTCAATCGTAAACATCACCTTGTTAATCACCAGAGAATTCACACAGGTGAGCGTCCTTATTCATGTTCAGAGTGCGGTAAATCTTTCAGTCTAAAAAGACAGCTTGTTAGGCACCAGATGATTCACACAGGTGCATGTCCTTATTCATGCTCAGAGTGCGGGAAATCTTTCACAGAGAAAGGAGACCTTGTTATACATCAGAGAATTCACACTGGTGAACGTCCTTATTCATGTTCAGAGTGCGGGAAAGCATTCATTTGTAAAGGAGACCTTGTTATACATCAGAGAATTCACACAGGTGAGCGTCCTTATTCATGTTCAGAGTGCGGGAAATCTTTCACTCAGCAAGGAACCCTTGTTATACACCAGAGAATTCATACAGGTGAGCGCAATTATTCATGTTCAGAGTGCGGGAAATCATTCACTCAGAAAAAAGCCCTTGGTAAACACCAGATAATTCACACAGGTGAGTGTCCCTTTTCATGTTCAGAGTGCGGGAAAGCATTCATTTGTAAAGGAGACTTTGTTGTACACCAGAGAATTCACACGGGTGAGCGTCCTTATTCATGTTCAGAGTGCGGGAAATCTTTCACTCAGCAAGGAACCCTTGTTAAACACCAGAGAATTCACACTGGTGAGCGCAATTATTCATGTTCAGAGTGCGGGAAATCATTCACTCAGAAAGAAGCCCTTGTTAAACACCAGAGAATTCACACGGGTGAGCGTCCATATTCTTGTTCAGAGTGCTGGAAATCTTTCAGTCGGAAAGGACAGCTTGTTAGGCACCAAATGATTCACACGGGTAAGCGTCCTTTTTCATGTTCAGAGTGCGGGAAATCTTTCAGTCGGAAAGGACAGCTTGTTAGGCACCAGATGATTCACACTGGTGAGCGTCCATATTCTTGTTCAGAGTGCGGGAAATCTTTCACCGTGAAAGGAAACCTTGTTATACACCAGAGAATTCACACGGGTGAACGTCCTTATTTATGTTCAGAGTGCGGGAAATCTTTCATTCGTAAAGGAGACCTTGTTAAACACCAGAAAATTCACACTGTTGAACATCCATATTCATGTTCAGAGTGCGGGAAATCGTTCACTCAGATAAGAACCTTTGTTCAACACCAGACAAGTCACAGGTGAACATGCTTATTACTGTTCAGAGTGTGGAAAAAGTTTCACTCAGAAATCAGTCCTTGTTAGGTACCAGAGAATTCACACCGGCGAGCGTTCATGTTCAGAGTGCGGGAAATCATGCATTCATAAAGGAGACCTTGTTAACCACCAATTAAGTCACATGGGTGAGCATCCTTTATTATGTTGAGTGCGGAAAATATTTCACTGAGAAATATATACTTCGTACACACCAAAGAAGACACAGTAGAGAGCGTCCTCACTGTTTTCCAACTCTGGGAAATGTTTTACAGAAAAAATATGTCCCTGAGAATGTAGTGTGGACACTATGGGGAGAGCTGTCGGAGAATGTAATGTGGATGGTAGAAGAGAGCTGCCAGAGAATGTAGTGTGGATGGTGGAGGAGAGCTGTCAGAGAATGTAGTGTGGATGGTGGAGGAGAGCTGTCAGAGAATGTAGTGTGGATGGTGGAGGAGAGCTGTCAGAGAATGTAGTGTGGATGGTGGAGGAGAGCTGTCAGAGAATGTAGTGTGGATGGTG